AAACAGTGTTTTTTCTCAAAAAAAAAGGGGGGGGTACTGAAATTCTGAAGCAAAGACAGCTACTAAGATGCTGACTGTTTAAAGACAACCGTGAGAGGAAGAGAAGCACAAAACAGGTGCTTCATGCTCCGTCGTTTGCTATAGCAGTGCATCTCAAACTATCTGGGTGAAGGACCACTTTTTCTTTTACTTCTAGTTACATGCAAAATGCAAGCCCTGACTTTTTATTCTTAGATTCAACAGACAGAAAATTATTCCATCAGCAGATGTTTCTAAACGCTTCCTCTCAATTTCTATACTTATCACAGACCAGTAACTGTGTGTGGACCAGCACAGACCACACACTGTTTATTCAAAATTGAAATTCTTATTTTATAGGCATTGAATTTGAAATGTAACAAGGTCCACCCACACCTCCACCCACAGTTCTAGAAAGTAAGCATTTTTTAAAAAAGGCTAATTCCACAATATGTACGTATTTCAAAACATATTTTTACTCCATAAATACATACAATGTTTATTAGTCAATCAAAACAATACTCAGCACTTTGGGGGGGCCAAGACAGGTGGATCACTTGAGGTCAGGAGTTCAAGACCAGCTTGGCCAACATGATGAAACCCCATCTCTACTAAAAATACAAAAATTAGCTGGGCATGGTGGTGCACACCTGTAATCTTACTCGGGAGACTGAGGCAGAATCTTTTGAACCTGGGAGGCAGAGGTTGCAGTGAACTAAGATCATGCCACTGCATTCCAGCCTGGGAAACAGAGTGAGTGAGACTCTATCTCAAAAATAAATAAATGAATAAAGTTTAGGCCGGGTGCAGTGGCTCATGACTATAATCCCAGCACTATGGGAGACCAAGGTGGGAGGATTGCTTGAGCCCAGGTGTTCAAGACCAGCGTGGGCAACAAACATAGGGAGACCCCATCTCTTCAAAAAATAAAAATAAATGAGCTGGGCACCGTGGTGCATTCCTGTGGCCCCAGCTACTCAGGGGGCTGAAGTGGGAGGATCACTTGAGCCTGGGAGGCTGAGGCTGCAGTGAGCTGTGATTATGTCACCACACTCCAGCCTGGGTAACAGAGTGAGATTCTGTCTCAAAAAAAGATTTTAAAATAAAAATAAATACATTTTAAATAAAGATTAATATCACAGATTATAAAACTAGTTTGAAACCTGTTTTATAAGCAATCATCAGTTCATGATTATGGTGAAAAAAAAAACCCTATAATAAAGTGTCTTACTGTGTCTGTTTAGCACAGATAATAGGAACATGGGCTCTCAAGTGAGAGGAAATGAGGATGGATTTCCCACTCCGCCACTCCCGGCTATGTGGCTCTGGGTCAGTAACTCGAGGAACCATCTTCTTTGTCCATAAAACAGAGAAAATGATAGGCTCTGCCTCACAGGGTTACTGTGAGATGAAGGGAGGCTGAATATGAAGAGATAGTTAATAGTGAGTGATGCCCACTCACTGCTCGATATACACCAGCCACATTGGCCACAAATTTGGCAAATGCCATCACTCCCATATAAAATGAAATGGCCCTCAGCACAGCTGCTTCGCTTTCGCCCCTCTCTCCCTCCCTCCCTCCTTCCCTTCCTTCCTTCCTTCCTTCCTTCCCTCCCTCCTTCCCTTCCTTCCTTCCTTCTTTCTTTTTTTTTTTGAGACTGAGTCCCACTCTGTCGCCCAGGGTGGAGTGCAGGGGCACCATCTGGGCTCACCGCAACCTACACCTCCCTAATAAAGTCATTCTCATGTCTCAGCCTCCCAAGTAGCTGGGATTACAGACATGCACCACCATGCCCAGCTAATTTTTGTATTTTTAGTAGAGACGGGGTCTCACTATGTTGGCCAGACTGGTCTTGAACTCCTGGCCTCAAGTGATCCATCCACTTTGGTCTCCCAAAGTACTGGGGTGAGCCACCACACCCAGCCCAGGACAGCTTCCTGAGAGCAGGCCACCCTTGTGTCTTGACTTGGAGCTGCAGGAGAGTTCCAGGGCCCTGCAGACTCAGAGGACTATGTCTCCATTGCAGTCAAGCAGGAAGAGTTGAAAGTGGTGAGCACAGGCTGGAGGTGTAGGAGCTGACTCTGCCCCCAAACCCCTATGAGGACAGACACTTATCAAAAGCTGTCATTACCATCACCTTACACAGCTTTGCTTCAGCTAAAACCAAAAGGCTCTTTGAACTCCGTTTACTGACAGCATAAGCTGGGCAGGTTTTGGCTTATCACATGGACATTTGGGGATCTACATGTCAGATACATCCCTGGTTCTGTCTCTTGACAGTATGGGCCTGAAGCCAGTCATTCACACTTCTGCTTTGGGTGCCCTCAGTGACAGGGGGGTTATTAATATGCTGCCTCCCTCGCTGGGAGGTGGGAAAGCCCAGCTAACAATAGTTCTCATCAATAATGATGAGAATAACAGGGCAAAATATGGTCACCAGTAAAGAGCGGGGGGAAAATCCATAGAAAGATTGTTCTTTTTCACCTGGCACTTGTTTCCCACTGTACAGTATAAACCCTTTGAATACAAACCATGTACTTTTAATGCTTATACCATGAAGCTCCAAGTACTGTCAGCGTTCACTACACAGAAAGTAATAATGAAGATTTGGGGAGCCTTAGGGATCCTTTCCAGCTCTTGGAAAGCTCCTACTGCAAGCCCTTGTCATGCTGAAGAAGTGAGTTTCAAGTCTTTGTTTGCCGCTAGCATCACCTGCAGGGCCTGCCCCAGTTGACATCACTGGCCCGTACCTTTTAGGTTTTGCCTCAGTATCTCCCTTCCACCCTAGGCTTTCACTAGTGATTTGTCCTTCCTTTCCCTGCTGTGTGTGTGCTTGTTTGTAAATCCTCCCCTGATCTCCAGACCTCTGGCCTCAGGCACACCACTCATCCAGCACTGCGAGGTTCCCAGGCCCGTCTCATTTCCACATCCTTTCCGCAGCTCCAAAGACGCTGCTGGTTTCCTTGCACCAAGAATTTAAGGAGAACCTGAGTTCCCCTTAAATTCTGCCTATTGGGAACCCTCACCTCTTATTTCTTCCTGCTTCACATCTTCTTTGGGGTTACTTTGTGAGTCAGTCAACCTTCTGTAAAATTCTCTGGATGGAACTGAACGGAAGACTTTCCACATTCAAAGAATTTCAGGTTAGAAAGGCACATCAGAAGTCAATTCCCATCTGAGCATTGAATGTTCCCTCCAGGATCGACATCAACATAACTTTGATCTCCCTTACGGACACAAATCTCACTCTCTCCTGAAGCCATTGGAATTGCAAGTTCTTCATTCTAAGCTGGGAGGTCCGTCTCCTCCTCGTTATTTAGCCTTTGCCTACATACCTGGCTGCTCTACCGAACCAACCAAGTCTCCATTTATACAATAGCCCGAGAGATAGCTGAGGGCATCCATGATGTACCCCAGAGTCCTTCTCTTCTGCAAACTGAACCTGCCATGCCATATGGCTTCTCGGTCAGCCTCCTTTGGACACGTTCTAATAACCTCCTAGGAGCTTGTGTGCTTGTGACATGTCCTCATAACTGTTCCCTCTCTTCATTCTCTCCCTAAACGGCATGGACATGACCCCCCAGTGAGCTTGGACTCCCTGCTTCATGGTCTAGGACAATAAAGAGATTCACGTCCAGACAGGGCTAACACAATGGTCCCCACTGTTGCGTGGCCAGCCTGTGCATATTTCCTGTTACTTCCCACACATTCAAGTTGTCCCAAGTGTTCATAGGACAATAATGACAGCACCAAAGTACAGTGAAGACCCTCAAAGCCGGTCTTCCAACAAGCCCCGTGTGCTGCCTTTAGGGTTACATCATCCAGGGTCTTAGCCCTCTATCCTCCTCTGCCTTGCCGCTGTCCTAATCAGAGCCCCTTCCTCATATTTGTGTTCTGGATGTTACCATTCATAAAGATAACAAGCAAAGCCACACTATATTTCTTCTTACTGACATAGTAGTAACCATTTCTACAGTACTTTACAATTTATCACCACCTTATTTTAGTCTTCAGAGTGACACTGCAGAGTAGGTATTATCCTCATTTTATAGACGGAGAAACTGAGGCAGAACGGCAACTTGAACCCAAAGGGTCTTGTGATTTCATATCTGATGCTATCATATTTATTCTATGTCCTATTTACTCAGGAGCTTGCAAATCTTAGGCAGAGAAAGTTTTCTAAGGTTCAGTTCTAGGCATCAAATTAAAACACGAGTTATACAGAAAAATGTAGAGGAATCTGGTTTCTATTTCTGGCTGTGCTATAAACTCACTCCTAGTTGAACCTTCCTGGTCCTTGGTTTCCTCGTTCATAAATAAGGAGATGGAACCAGACAATTCCTGAAGTCCCTTCCTGCTCAGCTGTCCTTCGTCTCCCGCCCCGTCTCTGCCATGTTGCTAAAATTAGGCAGAAAACATTGTTGAAATACCTTTCTTTTTTGTTTCTTTTATTTTTAAAGTTCCCAAGATTAGCTGGATAGTATTTGATAACGCTCTGGCTAATCTGTCAAGAAGAGGGGGAAAAACCTGCCATCCATTTAATAGCTTTTAAGCAGTTCGATTTCTATGATGAGAAGATAAATCTGGAAACCCCCACCAGAAGAATGCCTCTACAAAGTCCTTGTGCTGAGGAGGACCATCTGTAGAGCCGCACATCAAGAGAGCCGCGGTTATCAACCCCGGGGTTTCCGACAATGTCTGCAGACATTTTTGGTATTCACGACATGAGGAGGGTACTATGGGCACACATCAAGGGGTACAGGCCGTGGATGCTGCAGCCCTCCTGTAACACACAGGGCAGTCCCCACCACGGTTAGCTGGCCCAAGATGTCAAAGTGCCAGGGTTGAAAAACCCTGTTTTAATGATTGATGTCACAGAATGGCCCCAAACTCCTCCTAGTGTTTCAGCTGAGCTAGTCCATGTGAGAGGTTAACCAGGGGGCTCATCGGAAAGAACCCAGGATCTGAACGGCTCTCCTACCGTGCAAAGAAGGAGGCGGCCACCGACGTGCCTGTGGAAGTCTCGCTGGCCACGCAGGAGCCCTGGGAGGCTGGGACGCTGCAGGCGGAAGGCTTGTCTGCATTGTAGCGGTTCAGCACTGCTTCGGTCAGTCCCTCCCGGCCACTCTCTGTCATCAGCTGGGAGATCTGACAAAGAAAATGGATACGGAGCTCATTACCTGTGGCTCACTGCACTTCCTGACCACTGACGGCATCTCTCTATTTGGGGGAGGGAGGCAAGAGGGAACAGGTTTCCATCCCACCTGCATTCAGTTACACATGGGTGCTTAGGGCTACTAGAAGGCTGTTTTCCAGCATTTTAGCTAGATACTTCCCCGTTTTCATTAAAAATAATGGTATAAAATTATCCCCTGACATTGTAAGTTTCAATTATGTCTGTGTCTTCCCTCCATTTGGAGGGGAAAACATGAACCATTATCCATGCACTCTTTGCAGCCCAAGACGAGAACAGTAACATTAGCTAATGCTGACTTCTTACCAGGAATAGCCCCGAATGCTCTGAAAGGGAGGAGTGCGGCAAAGGCATAGTTTCATTAAGGGAGAAGTAAGCCTGCTCATAAAGAACATAAGGAATCAAAATACAACAGTATTTGGTGGGGTGGTGGTGGTGATTTGCTGTGGAAAGTCAATAAAGCAGGCAACACAGAGAAACTAATAAAAATAAATATAGCCACAATGAATTACCAATTTTTTTTGAAGGGCTGAGATCATTTAAACAGACTTCATTTTCCTGCTGGTTCATTAAGATAAATGGCTTCTGTTTTATTTGAAATGATTGCCTTTATAATGAAAGTTCTAGTGGAAGGAGCTGGGTCCATTTTGCCTAAATCTACATAATAAGCTGTGAAGACCCAAACTTTGGAGCAAAACAAGGATCTTATGTAGAAATATACTTTGGGGCCGGGCGCGGTGGCTCAAGCCTGTAATCCCAGCACTTTGGGAGGCCAAGATGGGCGGATCACAAGGTCAGGAGATCGAGACCATCCTGGCTAACACGGTGAAACCCCGTCTCTACTAAAAAAAAATACAAAAAAACTAGCCGGACGTGGTGACGGCGCCTGTAGTCCCAGCTACTCGGGAGGCTGAGGCAGGAGAATGGCGGGAACCCGGGAGGCAGAGCTTGCAGTGAGCCAAGATGGTGCCACTACACTCCAGCCTGGGCGACACAGCAAGACTCCGTCTCAAAAAAAGAATATATATATATATATATATATATATATACACACACACACACACACTTTGGAAAAGTGCTAAACCACACGGCAAATACAATAATTATGCAGGCAGAGTCTAAGTATTGGGAAAACCTGTTACTTTAAATCTTCAGTCTACTTGCAAAAAAAAGAAAAATGTTAGTTTTTTTAAAAAAGAGGAAACTTTAGTTCAAAAAAAGTCACCAGTCTATTCAAACCCTTAAATGCTAAGTGGAAAATGTTTCCAATCACCTACTAAATACAAGCATAGTAAAGCAAAGATCCGGAACAGTTTCCACTTTGTAACTGAGTAGGCCAGCGAGCCCTAAAAGCAGCACATTTGTGAACCTTTAAAAGTAAAAACATTTGTACTTTTCATTATTAGCAGAATAGCCATTACTCTGAGTCCCATTGACTGGGAACTTTGCTCCACTGAAATTCATGCTCTTACTTGGAAAGCCTTGGCATTATTCAACGGAAATTCTGCCAGCACACACTTTCTTATTCTCATTCATTCAATGCATTGTAAGGAAACTTGACCCAAGTGAGAGAAACTGGAGACAAGGCTGCAAAGGCAGCTGCTGGCCCAGAGGGCATTCCTGCTGACTGAGCAGAGAGCCCGCAGAGCCTCTCCTCGGGCTTCCTTTGCTGCTGTGGGGTGCGGGCTCCCGTCCACTGGCTGCTACTGTCCCTGCGGAACGGGGCCCCGGCCTGGAGGGTGCAGCTGAAACAACTGGAAAGCTGAGGACACGCGATGCACACCGTCATCCCCACTCAATAGTATTGATGAAGCTCCAGGGGGTGCATCATGCCTCCTGGACCATGTCCAAAGACAAAACAAAACTCCCAAATTCATGGGACTTTTTTCCCCCAAGAATCTAAGACATACATCTGATTTTTGACACATGGTGACATGTGAAACAAGCCAGTCTGCTTGGGTTGTTTCCTTTCGTTACTGTATTTCTCATCTAAAATTTGGAGGGAAGGGATTCCTTATGTATAAACTGTCTTGCAGGTGCCCTGCAAAGCCAGAGAGAAGCCGCTGGAACGCATGTGGCGAATGGCAGGATGCCTGACACACAGTCACAGCTTTCTGGGTGGGTCCAGATTCCCACATCTGCTCCAGAAGGGATGTGAGCAACCTGTGGGTTCACAGCTTTCGAAAATGTCACCAGGCAGATGAATTTCAACGCACGAGCTTCCTGACTAGAGAGCTACTGGCTGTCTTGTGCCAAGCAAGATTGTTTCTCTTACTTTTAAAGAATCGGGGATTAGTGGGCATGAGACACTGAATTCCCAAGGCTATAAATAGAACTATTCAATCATCAATTGTTTTCAAAAATTAGGATCACAGAATGTTCTAGAGCTAGAAGAGATTTCCAACATCATCATCGTCAAAACTCTTCTCCTTAGATAAGGCACCTGAAGACGAGAGAAGCGATTTGCCCAAGGCAATCTGTATCTAGGAGCAGCACCCTGACTCCTAAACCATTTCTAGCACCTACCTCCTTCCTCTAACTGCCCCTCTTCTAATTTAAAAAAAAAAAAGTCTTCCCCTTCTAATTAAAAAATGTGATATATAGGAAAAAATAAATCAAACAATAAAACATACACATGTATCCACTACCACCATTCACAAATGTTAGCATTTTTTATCTTAGAAAATATTTTCTCAAAGAAACCAAATAGTATGTAAAATTAAAATTGCACATCTTCCTAGTCACGCTGCCTTTCCTGCCCCATGTTTCAGACACAGCCAGTATCACGACAGGGCGGGGGCAGGTCCATGTTCTTATTTCTCATGGTGTGTGCTTCCCATCACACTCTCTCCCTCCTTAGAACCTGACAGCTCATTTTTTTGGTTTCTTTTGTGCATTCTTTAGATTTTGTTCTGCTGGTTCCACAATGGGGAGACGGCATCCCTCCAAATGCCTACTCTGTAG